CCCGCAATAACAACCAAAACAGAATCCCCCTCATCCTCACGTACCACTCCACCAACCTCCGGATGCAACGCATCATCCTCCGACACTTCCGCCATCTGCAATCCGACCCCACTATCAAAGACATTTTTCCCTCCCCACCCTTATCTGCTTTCCGGAGGGACCACTCTCTCCGTGACTCCCTTGTCTGCTCCACACTCCCCTCCAGCCCCACCACACCTAGCACTTTTCCCTGCAACCACAGGAAGTGCTACACCTGACCCTACACCTCCCCCCTCACCCCCATCCCAGGCCCCAAGAAGTCTTTCCACATCAAACATGTTCACCTGCACATCTGCTAATGTGGTATACTGCATCCGCTGTTCCCATTGTGGCCTCCTCTACATCGGGGAAACCAAGCGGAGGCTTGGGGACCACTTTGCAGAACACCTACGCTCGGTTCGCAATAAACAACTGCACCTCCCAGTTGCGAACCATTTCAATTCCCCCTCCCACTCCTCAGACGACATGTCCATCCTGGGCCTCCTTCAGTGCCACAACGATGCCACCCGAAGGTTGCAGGAACAGCACCTCATATTTCGCTTGGGAACCCTGCAGCCCAATGGTATCAATGTGGACTTCACAAGCTTCAAAATCTCCCCTCCCCCTACCGCATCCCAAAACCAGCCCAGCTTCTCCCCACCTCCCTAACCTGTCCTTCCTCCCACCTATCCCCTCCTCCCACCTCAAGCCCCACTCCCATCTCCTACCTACTAGCCTCATCCCCCCTCCTTGACCTGTCCATCCTCCCTGGACTGACCTATCCCCTCCCTAACTTCCCACCTACATTCACCTCTAATTGCTCCATCCCCGCCTCTTTGACCTGTCTGTCTCCTCTCCACCTATCTTCTCCTTTATCCATCTTCTATCTGCCTCCCCCTCTCTCCCTATTTATTTCAGAATCCTCTTCCCCTCCCCCATTTCTGAAGAAGGGTCTAGGCCCGAAACGTCAGCCTTCCTGCTCCTCTGATGCTGCTTGGCCTGCTGTGTTCATCCAGCTCTACACTTTGTTATCCCATGCAGGCTGTGTTCTACACACACACCCTCAGGCCTATGAGGAAGGTAATTCCAGGATTTTGACCCAATGATACTGAAGGAAAGGTGATATATTTCCAAGTTAGGATGGTGCGTGGCTCGGAGGGGAGCTTGCAGGGGGTGGTGTTCCCATGTATCTGCTGCCCTTGTCCTTTTCAGTGGTAAAGGCACAGGTTTGGGAGGAGCCAATGCCCTTCTCCCCACCTACTGAATTTGTGTGTTTTATTTCCTTTATTCATTCACGGGATGAGGACATCACTAGCCAGGCAGCATTTATTGCCCATTCCTAATTGCCGAGAGGACAGTTCAGAGTCATCCACATTATTGTGGGATTGGAGTCACATGTAGGCCAGACCAGGTAAGGATGGCAGTTTCCTTCTCTATGGGACATTAGTGAACCAGATGGTATTTTCCGACAATCGACAATGGATTCACGGTCATCATTAAACTCTTAATTCCAGACATTTTATTGCATTCAGATTTGAGGTCTCTGGACTGAAACTCCTGTAATAATACCACTTGGCCATAAGCTCCCCAACTGTCACGTTCGGTGCTCAGTGAGTGTTAGGGAATCTCACCTTTTCGGGAATCTTATCCTTGTCCAGTTTGAGGAGGTGCTTCAGGAAGCTGGGGTCTCCGAGCAGCAGCTTGGCTGTGGTCCACTGAGGGCTCTTCTGCAGCAATACACAGACTGCATTCATCACTGTGAGAACCAGTGTTGGTGGGCTGGTGTAGACTCTGCACACACAGGTTCAAGAGGGTTAGTATGCGGAAAAATGTAGAACTTTCATTTTTATTCCGTATTTAGCTCGTCAAAATGGAAGACATGATTTTTATTTCATTTTTGGAGTTTTTGTGAGCTTGGTGATGAGGAGTCAGAAGGCCTATTTGTTTACCTGCATTTTAAAGTAAATTATAGATTTTTTGAACTGAAGAGATGGTATCTAGTAATTTAGTGCCTTAAATAAATGGGTGGGAAAACATGTTGCCTCGTGACAAGGGTCCAGGGTATTACAGTGTTGTGAAAATGATTTCTATTTAACATTTTTTGAAGGATTTACATTTTGAGGGGCTGTGGGGAAATAAATTTATTTCAAGTCTTGAGGACAATCGTTGAGTGATCTCTTTAAAGTGATCATGAAAGGTTCACTGTAGCCACAAGATCTTTTAAAATTGGGATTCCTGTATGTCTGCTGGCTTTCCTTTCAACCCTGACACTGCTGATTTGAACAGTGACTGGATTGAAGAGGTGCTTGCTTTATTCAGATCAAGTGGAGGAAAGCCTGCTAATAACAAGCTGCCCAACTGATCTGTCCAACTTCAGAAAAGAAAACCTATGATATCAGTTTAAGGTAAAAATATGATCTTTTGAAAGAACAACTGAAATAACATTTCAGTATTGCTTTAGCAAACTGTGTCTGCAAGACTTCAGAGACAACCATGCATGATGAGGGATTAGACTACACTTGTCAGAATATCAAAGCAACAGGCTAAGGAATATCCTATGTTTTATCAAGAATAACCCACCAAGCAATGTGATTTTTTTTTCAATTTCTGAAGAGCAATCTATCTTTTTTTGTCTCTTTTCCTGGAGTGAGTGTGTATATGCGTGTGTGTGTGTATGTGTGTGTGTGTGTGTGTGTGTGTGTGTGTGTGTGTGTGTGTTTGAGAGAGAGAGAGAAACTGTGTGTCTGTGTGTGAGAGAGAGGGAGATTGTGTATATGTATGTGAGAAAGAGAGAGACTGTGTGTGTGTCTATGTGCTTGAGTGTTTGTGTCTTATAGGTGTGTGTGTTTTGTGTGTGTGTGCATAGGACTCTGTGTGTGTGTGTGTGTTCGCGTTTGTGTGTTTGGTGGGATGTGGGGAGTATGTCTGTGTGTGTTTGTGTGTGTTTGGTGGGGTATGGGGAGTGTGTATGGCTTATAGGTGTATGTGTGTGTGTTTTGTGTGTCTGTGCATAGGACTGTGTGTGCTAGAAATATTCAACATATCTAGCAGCATCAATGGAGAGAGAAACAGATTTACAGATGTTATCACTGCACACAGTTTCACCTTCATAACTCTCTTCAACCCTTTCCTGATTTTGCTCATGTCTATCAAATCGGGAGAGAATCACCTTTTCTAGGTAAGTAATTTTCTTCATCCGTAGTAATATTTTAATAAATCTCTCTGCACTTTCTCTAGGGTCTTCATATTTGTCCAAAAATGTAATGTATAAAACTGCACACAGCACTCCAGCTGATTCATAAAGATTTGGCATAGATTGTTTTGTTTTGTACTGATATGATCTCAAACTAAAATCTGGCTTGATAGATCATAGGATTTCTAAAAAGTTTTACCAAAGTTGAAAAAAATTACAACAACTGAAACATAACCTCACAATATTATAGATCTAGTGTTAACAATAAACAGAAGCTAATATCACGAAGGATAAAGACAAGTAGAACAAACAATTTATAGAGAACACACATTTAAAGACTTTGAGTCTCTTAGTAAAAATATAATCCTATTAATTTCAAAACATTCCTTTACAGATTCCAAAAAGTATTCACAGTTTTCACATCGGAGAGAAACTCTTTGGCTTCAACTTCTAGAGTGGAGAATCTGATAGCCTCTTCCAAAGTCTTCTCAACTTCAAATAACCACTGCAGGGTTTTAACCAAACACTTCTGGATAATATTACTAAATTCCTTACTCTAAGGTTATTTTTAAAATAAATTCAAACTATCTTCTCCCTTTCTTAGGAGCAACTGCTTTAAACATCCATCTTCAACGAAGACATCTTCAGAACTTCCCCAATCTGAAGCAAACATTGGAAGATTTTTCTCTATGTCACGGACATTTCCCCCAAGCTTGAAAAAGTACAAAACCTTTTCATCGGAAGCCCTACTGTGTATTTTGTTTGCTCGTAAACTCTCCCAATTATTTATTGGAGGCTATCTCTCAAACTGTTTTAAACTTTAACACCATGGCTACAGAAATACTAAAGTTAATCATTAAACCCCTTCAGGTACACAGAAAACCCATTGGCCACTAATTCAAAATTCAAACATCCAAATTCATAAAGACATTATACACACCCTACTTCACAGAATGTTGTGTCTGCTAATAAATGAAGGATTCTGTATTCCTTTTTACAATAAACTTTTAAAACTTTCTGTTTATGTACCTCCATTGCTCTCTGTAAGAGTGTAACTGTAAGTTAGAATGCAGTTTGAAATGAGAACAGGTGCACCTTTGCACAAGCACCATACCTGATCTCTGAAATATCGCTCTTATCCAGGGCTTGGAGAGCGACAATGGCCTTTTCCAAAATAGGAAGCACGTTGTTCAGTTCATTGGTCGCTTGCTGCAAGTCAACATCAAAGTTCCTTTAAACTGGTAAATGGAGCTCAATGACATGAAGAAAGTGAGAATGAACAGCAGGGTTATATCCTGGCTTAGTTAGGAACTTCACCAATATGATCCTCTTCTTCCCTCTCCCAACCTTGAACTTCATCACATCCAGCTCCAGACTGAGATAGTGGCAGATGAAAATGATGGATGATACATTGAACTACCAGCCTCAGTCCCAAATAAACACGTTTGTATAGTTGGATGGAAGAGGATGGTATACAGGTGGGAAACCTAAACTCAGCAGGATCATTTGAACTGGGTGTTGAGTTCAAACAGACCCTATTCTGGTTGCCATTAGGGTCTTAACTTGCAGTGTTGGAGTCGCAAACTTATGTAGCAACAAGAACACTCTTGAACAATTGATAAAAATAAGTCTAGTCTCATAATATGAAAGTTTTAAATTCCCCACTCTTTAACCATAAAAAAATACATTTTTAAATTCATTCATGGGATGACGGCATCATTTATTGCCCATCCCTAATTGCCCAGAGGGCAGTTCAGAATCTACCACATTACTGTGGGTCTGGAGTCACATATAGGCCAGACCAGGTAAGGATGGCAGTTTCCTTCCCTAAAGGACAGTAGTGAAACAGATGGGTTTTTCCCCCAACAATCAATTCACAGACATCATTAGACTCTTAATTCCAGATATTTATTGAATTTAAATTCCACCATCGAATGACAGGACTTGAACTCAGGTCCCCAGGACCTTATCTGGGTCTCTGGGTTAACAGATAATACCACTAGGCTATTACCTCCCCTGAAGCTGTCAGCGAGAGTTAAAAAGACTTCTTTGATTGACAGGCCATCTGGTGTGGTTTAAAAAAATACCAACTGGTCTTGCAGTTACAGGAGTTGTTTGTGAAATTTCCCCAAGGGTGTTTTTCTTGTCTCCTTTATTGACTGATGGGACATGGACATTGCTGGATGGGCCAGCATTTATTGCTCATCCCTAGTTGCCCTTGGGAGAGTATTATTATGTCACTCTGATGCTGAGTGGACTTTTATTGACTGCATGAACTCAGCTGGATGGTTTGGAGTCCATAGTCAGTTGACAGTTTAAAGAGGTCAATAATAATGTAGCTGGCTTTGATGTGGTGTCTGAAGAGAATTTTATTTTTCAAAGAAATTAACCACTTTAGGAAATTTCAAATCTTTGAATTACAGCACAAGGTGTCAATAGCCTAGTAGTATTATTGGTAGACAATTTATCCAGAAACTCAGCTAATGTTCCAGGGACCCGGGTAAAAATCATACTGCAGCAGGTGGTGCAATTTGAATTCAAGAAAGAATCTGGAATTAAGAATCTAATGATGGCCGTGAAACCATTGTTGACTGTCGGAAAAACCCATCTGGGTCACTAATGTCCTTTAGGGAAGGAAATCTGTCATCCTTAGAGACAGTAAGGACTTGACCTGGAAGCTAGAGTCAACAAATGTGGAGCTGGAAAAGCAGAGCAGGTCAGGCAGCATCTGAGGAGCAGGGAAGTCAATGCTTCAGGCCAAAACTCTTCATCAGACCTGCCATCCTTACCTGGTCTGGCTTACATGTGACTCCAGACCCACAGCAATATGGTGGACTCTTAACTGCACTCTGGGCAATTAGAGATGGGCAATAAATGCTGGTCTAGTATCCAGCAATGTTCTCCTCCCGTCTATGAGTTTTAAAAAAGATACAGAACAAAGCTCCCCATACACAGTCTTCATCCAGCACTTCCAGGGCCGGGACAGTGCGGGGATCGATACAGAATAAAGTTCCCTCTACACTGTCCCCCCCATCAAACACTCCATGGACAGGGACAGGAGGATAGATACAAAATAAAGCTCTCCTGACACTGACACCATCAAACACTCTCTAGACAGGTACAGCACAGGGTTAGATACAGAGTAAACATCCCCCAACTCTTCTAAAACAAAACTAAAGTTTCCTTGACACTGTCCCCGTCAAACATTCCCCAGACAGGGACAGTACAGGATTAAATTCAGAGTAAAGATTCCTGTGCTCTTTTAAACTGAATGTAAAACTCCCTATGACACTGTCCCCATCAAAGACACCCACAACAGGTACAGTATAGAATTAGATACAGAGTAAAGCCTCCCCTACTCTTTCAAACTAAAGTTCCCTCAACACTGTCCCCATCAAACACTCCCCAGACAGGGACAGCATGGGGGTAGATCAAGTTAGATTCTGCATCTACCCTTTTAAACTGAAAGTAAAGCTTCCTCGACACTGTTCCCATCAACTGGAAGAGAGAGAGAGAGGAAATCACAAACTGGGAGGGAGGGAGAGAGAGAGGGGAGAGAGAGAGAGAGAGACGGGAGAAAACACAAACTGAGAGAGGGAGGGGGAAAACACAAACGGGGGGGGGGGGGAAACAAACAGAGAGGGGGGAACACAAACTGGGAGAGAGAGGAATGGGGGAACACAAACTGAGAGAGGGAGGAGGGGAACAAACTGGGAGAGAGAAAGAGTGGGGAGAACAAACTGGGAGAGAGAGGGAGAGAGAGAGGGGGAAAACACAAACTGGGAGAGAGAAAGAGTGGGGAGCACAAACTGGGAGAAAGAGGGAGAGAGAGACGGGGGAAAACACAAACTGAGAGAGAGAGAGAGGGAGGGGGAAAACACAAACTGGGAGAGAGAGAGCGAGGGGGGAACACAAACTGGGAGAGAGAGAGCGAGGGGGGAACACAAACTGGGAGAGAGAGGGAGGGGGTGGACACAAACTGGGAGAGAGGGAGAGGGGAACACAAACTGTGATAGAGAGGGAGGGGGGACACAAACTGGGAGAGAGAGAGAGAGGGGGGGAAGCAAAAGGGGGGGGGGGGGGAACAAAAAGGGGGAGAGAGGGGAGGGGGAGAGAGAGAGAGGTGGGGGGGAAACACAACCTTGGAACATTCAAACAGTGGGCAAATATCAGGTCATGTTAATTAAATGCCATATATTTAAGCATTGCATCAGCAATGTCAAAAGTCCCAGCTTAGTTCTACAGGATTGATCTAACCAGAGCTGAGAAGTGATCTGACTGAGGGCCTCAGCAAACCTTCGTACCTTGTGATCAGAGTTAAATAGAGTCAAATAGCAGCAATTACCTCAGCGTATTCCTGCACAATCCGAGTCTCTTCAGCCATGATCTCCTCTTCGTGTTTCACAATGGCACGCACCTCTTCCACGGCCTCAGTATCATCTTTAAGTTTCTGCACTAACTGTTCAATCTCCTGCAGAAAGGATAGGTGTGGTTAGCCCGACACCACACACACACACACACACACACACACAAATCTCCACTGTGTATCTGACACCATTCCACCTTACAACTGTTTTCATAATTTGTCACAATAAAATCTCCACCAATCACAGCTGAGCAATGTAGGAGCAGGAAGTGGCCTTTCGGCCCTTTCACTCTGTTCTGTCACTTAGTGATGTCATGGCGAATCTGCATCTTGTAGCATCCACCTGTCTTGGTATCATAACCATCAAAACTGTAAAAGTTTCAGTTTAGAAAGTTCTAACTGATGTTTTGAGAGAGGGAAAGTTGCTGGTTGCCACCACTGCGTGTGTCAGATCTAAGCTTGTTGACATTATCCCTCAGAAGCCACCTCTAACTGTGAGTTACTGCTCCCTTCTCCTTGGCTCCTTTACAGTGGATACAGTTTCTCCCTAACAACTCACGCAGTCAAATCGAGAACTTTCTACACACTCATCTCCAGCCAAGGGAATACAAGCAAGGTAGCTGCAACCTGTTCTCATTAAACTGCTTTAAGGCCCGGTATCATTTTGCGCTGAGGATAACATTCCTGAGGTGCAGTGACCAGAATACATGGTGCCAATTGTCTGGACTCGAAGACCCCTAGAACTAACATTGTCTTGTATGCATCAATTAGTGTTACTTGTTTTCTCAAATTGCAAACAACTCCTTACATATTCTTTCTGTTTAGAAGCAGTGTCCCATGTGGTCTTTACACTGGTCAATGGTAACACCCAGAATGTAGCTAATGGATGATTCATTGACGGTAACACCTTTGAATGTCAGGGGGACATTGCTTACATTCTCTCTTGTTGGAGATGGCTGTTGCCTGGCACTGCCTTTTAAGCATGCTGTCATGGGAGGTGGTATTATTGGTAAGGCCAGCATTTGTTGCCAGTCTGCTGGGCCATTTCAGAGGGCAGTTTTGAGTCAGCCACAGCCTCCCTCACTTGCTGCCATGTCAGAATTTATCCACATGCCCAGAGATCATTAACCTGGCCCTCTGAACTACAGTCCAGTCAAATTACACCTAGGCCACAATCTCACTTTTGGAAACATACTTTCTTCCTTTAGAAATATTTATCCAAATCTGCAAAATGTTTTGGAAAATTATGACAGTTTTCTTCCAGGGTCCCTCCTGGTCATGAATGTTAATGCACCTTGTAAAATGATGACTCTTCTGCCAATTACATTAAGTCTGTATCCTCTGAAGCCAACCCCGTCACTGGAAACAGTTTCTCCTGAAGTACTCTATAAAAACCTGACAGCATTTGAAACATGAGATAACAAGGTGTAGAGCTGGATGAACACAGCAGGCCAAGCAGCATCAGAGGAGCAGGAGAGCTGACGTTTTGGGCCTAGACCCTT